TAATATATTTAGTAGAAGCTTATTTTAATTATATATAAATATAACTTTAACCTAGCTATTTAGAGTTTTAAAAGACTTTTTTATAATAAATATATAGCTTCTAGGCTTTACTTAGAAATTAATAGCTATAAAAAGAGATTCTTATAAGTTATATATACCCCCTAGTAAAAGTATATTATTAGAAAATATTACTTAAGTTATAATAAAAGTATATAATTAGTAATAGCAGCCCCTAATAACTGTAGTTATATATATAGAAGGGGGGCGTATAAATATTAGTTAGCAGGGCGCGTAAAATTAAATATATATCCAGGCACCTCTATATTAGGCGCTCTTTATATAAGTCGGCTATACTATAAGGCTGTAATTAATATAGCTAACTAGTAATAACAGCTTCTTTTTCTTTAATTAAAAGTTTTCTTCTTTATTATAATCTATCTTTATTAGGTAGCTTGCTTAATATATACTTAATATTACTTGTAAAATAGTTTCCAGATAACTGCCTCCCTTTAGAAGGTAAGTATAGCTCTTAAAATACCTTATATACTGCAATTAATATATAAGTAGCAGCTAGAGGCTATATATTTATTACTGGAAAGTTAAGGAAAATAAATAATAGTAGATAACTTATTATATTTAATTGTAATTATAGAGAAGTACCTCTAAAGACTTTAAATATATAGTAATAATTAATTATAACTTAGTATATAGAATGTTAATTCTTAATTCTTATAAAGAAGGTATTAAATAAGATAATATAGTATTTTATATATTTCTAAAATAGTAACTTTAGCTATTATAATTATAAGTTAAGTATAAATATACTTACTTATCCAGTTTATTAGTAATTATTTTAATTTAATAAGTTAACAATTTATAATCTTATAAATATTAAAGTAATATTAAGAAGATTAGATTTTACCTTTATAAGAACTTATAATCTTATATAATTTAATAAGATATTTATAATTATATTATATAAAATAAATAAAAATTATAAAAGAGCTAAAGTATTATATATATTTTTATTAATAAGCTTAAGAAAGAAAAGTTTTAAAATTAAATATAATTTAATATAAATAGCTATATTATAGCTATATTACTTATATATCTAGAGTTATTAGCTTATTTTAAATTATATCTAAATTTACTTATTCTAAACTGTATATATAAGATAAATAAGTATAATATATCTTTTTTAGATATTATTAATATTAATACTTATTAATATTTATTTTATATTATCTTTATCTTTCTTAATAATAAAGAGAAAATAAATTATATTTAAGTATTAAATTAGCTATACTTAATATATAAAGTATATAATATAAGTTTTTTATTTATTATTCTTATAGATTATTACCTTATTTATATAAATATTATATCTTATTACTTTCTAACTGCAATATTACTTTTATATCTTTAATATACTAATAAGGCAGTTTTATATTACTATCTACTAAGCTTTATATAAAATAATAATATAGCTTAAGGTTATTATAAATAGAAGGAGTTTTATAGAAAGTAGTATAAACTTATAGTATCTCTAATTAAAGAGATATTTAAAAAGAGGCTTTATTAATTAAAAGAGTATTATACTTCTACTTATATTTAAGAAGTTAGCTATATTATAGAAACTTAGCTTAATCTTTATAAAAAGAAGCTTATAAAAACTTAAATTAATTAGCAATCTTACCTTAAAAATATTATTATATTTTAAGATAAGAGTATTTATTAACTTATTAAAATTTATTTTAATATAAATTAACTTAATCTTTTTAAAGCTTAAAGGTCTATTAAATATATAATTCTTAACTAAATAACTAAGCTTTAAGTAAATTAAATAAAATAGTAAATCTATATTTCTATTAAACTTATAAAAAGACTATATAATATTATACAAGGCTGGGTCTCTTATAAAGTATTACAGAAGGTTAAAGTATAGAAAAAGCAATTTCTACAAAATAAACTCCCTGCCTATACAGGAGTATTTACTCTATTACTCAGTCTCCCTTATGCTTATACTATTAAATCTCTTATATAATAATAACAATTTCTTTAGCTACACCACTTCTATATATATTAGTATCTTCAGTAAGAAGGAAGTCCTCGATTACTTATAGAGCTACATTAAGTCTTTGATTAGCCTACAGCTAGGTCAACGCTACCAAAAACCAGCACTCAGCGCGAACCCTGTATATTTGAGGTTGTTGAGCAAGTATCGCAGGCATTTATACGGACTAAAGCAAAGCCTTAATGCACAAGGTGCCATCAATATGGCCACATAAGGCGCTCACAGGCGTATGCATTACGATATGCGCATCTTATACCATCGTCAACTGCAATGCCATCTCAAGAGACTATAGCTTCGGATACAACGCCAGCGCGGTGATAGAACTGAGCTTAGTTTTAGCCTTAGCGCCGGCGTTGGGTCCGGCTTCAGTTCAATCGCCGGCACTGGAACTCAATTCGCTTATACCAGCGTCAACGAAAACTTCAATTGCGCAGCTAATAGCGCCGCCAGAGCCTCTCTCAGATGCAGAGCCATTACCATTCTCACCAAATGCAGTATTGCTATCCTCATCTCCGGAGCCGGAGCCGGAGCCAGAGTCAGAGCTACTATACGATCATCCTTATGCTATATATTAACGATATATTATAGCATAAGAAGCTTGGTATAAGATGCTATATCGAGGTAGTTTAAAGATAAACTAGCAATATTGAAAGGAAATGGGACTGCCTCTAAGATATAATAAGAAGGAGTATAACTGGTATTTGGATTGAAAGTAGATGGGTAAGCGATATACTGTAAAGAGATCTATTTGGGACTGGATTAAGGAGGAATAGATAGCATATTTAGATTAGAATAAGGTAGAAAAAGCCTAAGTTAAAGCTTAAGTTAAAGCTCAAATAGTAAAAGAGATAGCTACTATATAGTTCTTATATAAATAAGGCTTATAGGATATCTAGGAGGTAGCTAAAAGAGATAGTAAGAACTAATAGGTATTATATAGAGGTAACTAAGTAGATATATATCTATTATATACTATAAAAAGGGGGACTTCTTAAATATAAAGAATTAGATTAAGAGTTATCTAAAGAATAAAAGAAAGTTATTTAAAGTAGAGATAAATATAAGTCCTTTAATTTTACTTTACTTACTAGATAGCTATTCTAGTCTACACTATATATAAAATTATTTATACTAATTTCTATCTTTAAAGATATTAAATAGGCTAGTTATATAATAATATTACTATAAGAATTAAAAGCATCGTGGTACTATAAGCCTTATAGGTAGCTTAGTAGTAGTCTTTATAGATATAATTACTAAGCTACCTATAAGTCCTATAATATTACGATATCTTTATTCGATTCTATACCAAGGAATATTCTTTTTATTATAAATGCATACCTTTAGTATTGCAAATAGCTTCACAGCATGGCCGACTTACATAGAGGTGAGGCTTACATAACTAACTTATCGGCGCCACTGGTGGTGCGGCACGTGACACTTATTTGCACCACCGGTGGCGCGCCTATTGGGCCCCATCCCAACCAACCAAGTCAAGTAACTTGGTTGTTGGACACACTGTTTTAGGCTGGATCTTGCGACAGCAGCTGGTACATTAGAGTCATACGAGTTGACACTAGTGTTCCATGTCACATATTACGATTCTGGCCTGGGGTCCTGGTTCAGGGCCTGTATTGTTACTATGACCTCCGGACCCACGGGTCCGCCGGGGTCGTTCGGGCTCGATTCGCTGTGGAGGGATTCTACTAACTAGCGGCCTGGCCGGACGCTGCAACGGCTGATCAACTATATCTGGGTTAACTAGCTGCCAGATACGGGCTGAATTTACCCTCAATTAAATGCTTTATCCCAATTTCCCCAGTCATTGAAGGTCTCGAGATAGACCTTCCGGGTGGTTGCGTTATTTTCGGTAGGCATCGCGGTCTTCGTATTCGATCGGATATGCATGCGGATTGTAGCGCGATTAGCTTCTTCACGCAATTCCGACTGTGAATTGTTGGATCCGATACGGTCAATTCAATCACAGGGATAGTGTTCAATATGATGTAGAGACCGAAGATGATGATGGTGTTGATGTCGGTTGGGGTGTTGGCAGAAGGATGTGAATTGGTATAAGCATATCATGTGTAAGATGATTGCATAAAACTATGTACCGAGACCTGGAGTGGAGAAATTAAACAAGGCAACTCGCATCTACAACTCAGAACTTAACCGAGGCTCCCGACATCAACTAGAACCACAGGTTAGTTAACTCACGCATCCAAATAGTATTTAGTCTCTATTACTACCCCTAACCCATCTTTACATTACCATGACTCGGTACCAGACAAACTGATACAGACATTATCGCTATCATTGTATGTCTTGTGTTTTATCTCGCTCATAGCGACAATTACTGCATTGAGCGCCAAGTATATCTAACCCTAGCTCATGGCATCAGATCTTGGGAAGCGGTTTCATAGTGTGGGACTTATTACTGGCGGTACCGTAATATTATTGGCAGCGTGTAGTCACGAGGTATAGACAGCGCCACAAGCTTCAACTAGAATAAGAGGGTTACATCCGAGGTTCTCAGCCGGAGACGGCTCAAGTATGAAGTACGCGATTTCTGCCTCACTCAGTCTTTCAGTTTTGTCCTCCATTATCATCCACAGTCTCAACATCAAACCCCCCTCATTCCTCATATTATTCGGCAAATCGATCTTATCGGTCAGCTTTATACTCAACCAAACACCCCCAACTTCACTCACTTCGGCTTTTCACAATTACCGAAGTGAAGACCACTGCCATTCTTGCTACTCTTTTCGCCGCTTCCAGCCTCGCCGCTGTGGCATCTAGCCGTGTAATCGGCCGCTTGGCGGCCCGTTTCAAGAGCGTTGACATTGTGGCTCTCCAGGACGAGCCAACTGCTACTGTCATCCTCGAGGAACCCGGCGAGTCTCCCACGGTCGTGACCGACCTGGAAGCCATCGAGAAGGTCGTTACAGACGCCCGCGCCGAGTCCATTACGACCATTGAAGGCGGAGGTGGTCAAGGCCGCCGACTTTTCGAATTCGGCCAGCTCTGCAGCCAATGCCGTACCGGAGCAGTGACTGCTGTAGGAGAAATTGCGCTCTGTGGAACTACCGCTCTGGCCGTTGAGGTTGCTACAGCCGGGATTGCTACTATCTTGGAAGTCGCCGGCTTCATCGCCTGCGAAGCCGCTGTTATTGGGACTCTCAACGAAGCTGAAGCCAACTGCCAAGGTCTTGCCGACCCGTAGCTATTGGTTCCTGTTAGGAGCGAGGTTGGGAGGTTGGCTGTTCTTACGGTTGGAACAGATTGGTAGAAGTTATGAGGAGATAACGGAATTTGGAGGGGCGAGATGTCATCTAGATATGGCGCTGGTCTTCATTTCTAGCTGAAATTAGACCGCTTTGGAGAGAAGTGCTTGGCCAGTAGTATAACATCATAAATATCGAACTCAAGATAAATACAGGCAGGCCAAAGTCTCCTGCTCGCCCATCTGCGAGAAAGTATACACCGCACAGCCACATCCAACTTGTTACATTATGGGCCTAGATAGCATCCCATGCCGCAGTCTTGACCTCGTGTCGCTCTCTCACATGCGTTCCCTCCTCTACTTGCACCACCGTATCTGTATGTATATGGATGCCCTGGTCCACATGCTCGAGCATCACAAACTCGGTCGTCGAATCCCCCGCCGACACTGTAACCTGGCCGATCCTGCCATCCCTCTCGTGGTCGATCGCGCTAGCCTGCCTGATTACCTGCTGGCCCGGGGCCAGTCGCTATGGGACTGGGGGCCGTTATTCGTGTACGGTGCCGTCTTGTTAGAGCTCTCGAGGCGGCTACGGAAACCGAGCTTATACGAGATGAGGCGGAGCAAAGGTTGGAGGGCTGGGAAGCAGCCGCACCAGAGGCCAACATGACTTTCGAGGGTGCCCCAGGAGCCGATACGGATCATCTTATAAGTACTGCGAGATCCAGTTAGCTGTTCTGTCTGATAACTAGGCGAGAGAGCGCTAAAGACGAACGAGTCGGTAGTAAAGTCGGTGGTGACTAGAAAGCCAAGTCGGATGATTCCGGTAATAATAGTAAAGAGACTAATACAAAAGATAAGCATAACCTGAAGAGAGTTGTGGCTCAAGGTCAGCTTGGTGCGGATGATCCAAATGGGGAGGCTGAAGAGAGCCAGATCTATAAAGACGCCCACAATCGAGTGTGCCCATATCATATGGATGTGTTCTTTATAGCTGATGCAGTTACGATTGGGCTTAGCAGCTTTAAAAAGTTCTATAATAGGTCGGCATTGAGTTAAAATAAAGAAGAAGGCGATTGAGGTGATAGTAACGATAACGAACCCCACGCCCCAGATACATCGCATATAAATGCCTAATATAGATATCAGTCTGCTGGTTAATAATAACTGTATATTCTCTTTTCTAAGAATACTTACGGTCTCTACTCAGACGGGGCAGGAACGTTAGAATAGATAGGCGAACAATGCCACAGCTAAGGATAGAGATGAGTTCGTTGATAGGTATTATCTAAATCAATCCTTATATTAGCTAATAGCTTCTAGCATATCTGCTTAATACGCTTCTAATACCGAATAGAAGGCAATAATCTGCTCGTTAGAAAGCTGGTCTATCGGCGTCCCTGATCCATAGTGGACTGCGATAATTTCCAAAGCCGACAAGGCAATAACAAAGCCCTAGTGACGAGTAGTCAGCATCCGACTGGCTTAAGATATCAGTATTCTAAAGCAGCCACTCACAAAAGCGGTAATAGCTATGAGATCGTCCAGTCCTATTGCCTTGATCATCCATCCTCGGGCATGCAGTCGTAGAATCATAATGACGGTAGTGATGACAATAAGGGCTATGTTGAGATCATGTAACACATGGCCCTGGGACTCAATGGGCTTGTTCGACCCTTTAGGTGGTCCCATTTTGTGGTCTTCATCGCTTTTGTTGTTCTCTTGGGCATCGGAGGCTGCGAGGCGCCAAGTTCGCAGGATAAGACCTTTAGCTCGGCGGTTAGGGAGGGGGTTGTTGACCAGAGACTCGATTAAAGCAAGTTGTTATCAACAAAGTTCAAACTTGAAGGACAGTATTGGGGAGGGGCAAGGGGGACGGGGGATGGGGGATGGGGGATGGGGACGGGGGAAGGAATTCACAGGATCCTGAATCACACCCCGGGCTCGGCCTTCACAACCAAGACAGACTGGTTATAAGACTTAAGCATCGAAAATAGCGTGTCACAGTGTGTGGCAATATCCTGTCCTCGAGTCTTATAGGCTAGCCTGACTCGAATAGGGGCGGGGTTTAACAGAGCAGCGGCCGCCTCAGCGACACGCCCATGAAAAACTTTTCTTGGGTGAAACAGTGGCTCAGCGGAAGATGCCGAGTAGTCAGGTCCCCAAAATGTGGAATCGAATAGCAGACATGTCATAATAGTATGGCGTCCATTGTGTGTGTAGTCTGTATGGTCTGGCAGGATAGCCTTGTGGGTGCTCAATAAATGACTGTGAAGCCATTGATAGTACTTTATTGGAAACGAAGGGGACTTGTATCGGCACCATTTCTTGGCTACTTTAACCCCTTTCAAGAGATTGCACGATGGATTAGCGCTATTCGAACAGCACGAGGGCCAGGGGTTGTGAGACAATTCTGACGAGACGCTAAGCAAGGCGTAAAGCTATGACTCGCAATAGCCCCATGGCGACCGACTCGGGGGTCATCAGCTCCTCCAGCTAGAATATATGGGGATAGGGTTATGGTAAATAAACCGGACCAGGCCAGAGGATGGGATGATTAGGCTTGATTAGGTGTTAGATGAGACCTCGTGTGGCGGCACAATAAGTGGGATCTGCATATCCTATTGATATATCAATATCCCGATGCGTAAAAACCCCTCCCAAAGAAAAGAGGGGGCCGGAGGCATTGAAGATCAACACAATCATCAGATTTGGGATCCAGCCTCCATTGAACACTATCTCTGTGATCGAATTGACCGTACAGTATCCAACATCTTCCTTTAGTTTAACCATTAGCTGAAGATAGCATAGTGATGCGGATATGGGTCGAGATACTTACCATGGACAGCAGCTCCTATGCAGACTGAGCCACACACGCCATAGTGCAGGCATCGTAAATGCGCAATGAAAGGCAAATGCCTCGGCACCGAAGGTTTGCACCGGAGTTTCGGCGATTACCGGACGTCCAACTCGCCGTGATCAGCGCCTCGGTCATTCTGGCTTCTTCAATTCACATGTGATGGCATATGTTGTGAAGGTCGCAATGCCTCCCTTAATGGTGAGACAACAATCACTCGCAGTATCGTCTAGTTGATGCCGAAAGTATTATTGCAAGTTTCGCCGTGTATGGTACCGACCAAATCGATCTCTACAATCCCCGCAGCGGAAATTGAGCTTAGTTGGCCTTCCACACTCATATCCAGTCTAGCCTCAGTTGACAACTCGTCTGGGCCCTCGGCAATTGTGACCAGCGATCCCCAACCTTGCGGGGACTAATCTGGGGTAGAATGTAACACTCTCCCTGCATTCCAGGAAGCCGAGGGTGTGCCTCGGCGAAGTAGCCGTGTACGGAGATGTGGCGCTCCCTGCTAGTGCCGAGGCGGCTTCACTGGAATTGGACCAGAACGGCCTCTTCAGTGCATATTATTGACGAACAAGGCGGCCGACGTCTTTGATGGCCCTAAACTGTACTTATAATAGGTTTGACATCTTTTCAGTTCCTTGATCTCTTTTGTCGTCTTGGCAATCGTGGATGCCTCTAGTCGCTACAGAATTAAACCCGCAGAGATCTACAAACATGGCTGCAGAGATAGGCACACAAGCTGGTAGTCGACGCTTCGCGCACTTGTCGAATCCCGATCCATCCTGGCAGAAAGTAGCAGCGAAACAGCAGAGCCTCGAGAAACTGGCAGACGGGCTTTACTGTCTGCCAATGACTGAGTTTCGAAAAGTGGCATATGGACCACCGCCGCTGCCTGCGAATGCACCTGTCATTGGAACTGACATAACCGTTGAGCAGGCTGAAATTTCGGTGAGAGACGGTGCGAGAATCGGACTACGCGTTTACCGCCCGATAGAGGATGGAAGCAATCGCCTGCTGTTCTTCAATATCCACGGAGGAGGTTGGGGCAATTCCAGGCGCATTCTGGTACGCAGGGTATCACGGCTGACGAGCAAGCGGGATGGACTTTCGGGACCCCAGATGCAGAGGAGGCTCAGAATCGCCTGGTGGCAGCCAAGAATAAAGCGGTTGTGGTCAGCGTCGATTATAGAAGGTAGCACTTAAGCCAGAAGTCTGCTCTCTGACTGACACAGCAGTAGAGCACCAGAACATCCATTCCCGTATGCTCTTCATGATGCCCAAGACGCATTCTTCTGGGTACGCAAAGGGGCCTGCTTCTCTGATTTACTCGGAACCTTGTTAGCTGATCGTGATCCAGTGCAAAGAAAACTGTCAATCTCTTGACATAGACCCTGAGAAGATTATGATTGGGGGGGGTAGCGCTGGCGCAAACGTCGCAAGTTTTCCAAATCCAATGCTTGACCCATGACTAACTGCAACTTAGGCTGCAGTACTCGCCCATATGGCGCGAGACGAAGGAACGACTGGGATAATTGGGCAAATCTTGAATATTCCCGTCACTTGTCATCCAGACCACTTTCCAGCATCAAAGCACAAGTACCACTCGTTTGAACAGAATGCACACGCACCCATCGTCAACGCATCCCATATGAGGATGTTCTGGCATAACTATCTTCCCAAAGCTGACTCTAACCCACTGGTGAGTCCGCTTTTGGCCCAATCCTTTGCGGGTCTTCCACCAGCACGTTCGTCACCCCTGCTTCCCTTATACTCAAGTTGGTTTTGGTTATCTGATCGTTTACAGTTGTACAAGTCGCCGGGATGGATCCTCTCAGGGACGAGGGGCTGGCTTACGTCCAAAAGTTGAAAGCAGGCGGGTGAGATGAAGCCAACGGATCATACTATGTGATCAGTGCTAACAAACTATGCAAACACAGGGTAGATGTAACGGTCAAGATTTACGAGGGGCTGCCACACGCTTTTTACATATATCCAGATCTACCTCCATCTGGACAGTATTTTCAGACGATGGTAGATTGGATTGAGCACTTGTTATCGAATTCCAATAGCAATAGTGTGACGGGTTGATAAGTCGACGTCACGAAAGTCGGTTAGAGGTCTATCGTGCTGTTCTCGTACCGGGAGCTCCATTCTGTAACGGTCGTGTCCCAAGCTAGCCTGTACGGGGTATAGGGTAGCTCAAGATTGGTTTCCTAAGGGATAGACTGGAGTCTATGTTAGCAGAACGGTTAGGCGTACACTTACTGAGCGGTTGAGTGTTACGTTAGGTAATAGTCAATATACGATGATGCGTAGCAGTCAGAGTAGATTAAGGTAACTAATTGTAGTGTTGATAGCTGAGGAGCTGGTAACAGCCAGTCCTCGGGTTAATATACTAAGTGTAGCTGTCCGATCAGATCACTAGAGAGTGCACTGGATTATGGGTGATCCGGGTGGGTTCCGTGGTGATTGATCGGTGGACCGTTGTTCCGTCCCAGAAAAGCGGGTCTATAATGTAGGTCGCAGATGGGTTAACCCAGGCCGTGACACATGTTACAGGCTTGAGCCTGAGTGTGTATTCTGCTAGGTTTTTACCGCTTTTGTAGCTATCTAGAACTGAGCCCGAGCCGGGCTCACAAAGGAGAATTCCTTCCTCCTTGGCTTTCAATAGATTAATACACAGTTAGTCCCTTAGTGTATCTACTGACGGGCCAGCTTCTTACAATATATTCCTCTTAAGATTTATCTTTCTAGAGATTACATAACTTAAATATGCTTATAGCTTGCACTTTACACTTAGATATTAATTATACAACTTATATTACAGCTTAGTATTAGATTAAGCAGTCTACTATAGTAGTAATCTAGACTTACTTTTTACTTTTATATATTATTATCTGGATACTAACTAATCAGTCTAGTCTAAGTAATATATATTAAATACACTCTATTTAATATAACTTAACTATAGTTAACTCTTATTAAAGTATAATTCTAGTATAAGAATCTAGAAGATATAATAGATAAAGTACTTTTACTTTAATTTATAGCCCTTCTTAATTTACTATAGTATAATATTGTCGGAAAGCTAGCGTGGTACTCTGATGATGTCAATCATGTGTATTATATGTGTGTCTCTTCTCTTCCTGTCTTCTTGTTCTGAGGTATCAGACCAAGCATTATATACCCGTTCTGTGCTGTGTAGAATCAGCTAGAAGCTGATTCCTAAGCCTTGTGGCAAAATGCTAGGCAACTGATCACATGACCCACCCGGTATGATGCCAGGTACATGGTCCAATCTAACAGGTGTAGAGCAAATATGCAGCTTTTAGAGTATCAATTGACATAAAAAACTCAGCTCCAAAGACCGAGCTCTGTCAAGAAACTCCAAACTCCCATCATGTGCCCATTCTATCTCTTGGGGCATTACCCTCCATAACATAACAGCACAGATCCCGCGCATCCTATGACAGAATGTTATATAAGGTTAATTTGCTATCTTTTTCACTTCTTGGTTACACCATGCCTAGCAAACTTGTCAAAACACATAACCAAGATAGTAAAAGTCCAACAAATCTATCAATTATAATTTGCTAACCATATGCTAAAGCTCCTCTCAGCCCTTTAATTTCATACAGTAATGCACTTGAAGAGAACTACATAATCGTCGATCCGAAAATCTCGCATTAAACTGCTGATAAATCTCTGACTAGGTGAGCTACTAAGATAACTGGCTGTCGTCGCCCTCCTTTAATTTAAGGAGGAAACTATCTTCTTCTGCTGTGAATTTGGCTTTTGCATCTTCGCTGCGATTTACTCAGCTGGTCGAGCCTGCAGATATTCGGCAGCGCCTATTCTAAATAGCATCCCCGCGTTGTCATGCTTTGAACAATGTCCCAGTCGAACTGTAACCAAAAGGTGGTTACATCATCGAGAACAACCCGCTTCAGTAAGTTAAACCACCCACTTACCGATCAGGGGTCTAGTCGACCGTCCCACTTACTGTCAGACGAATAGGTCCGATAGGAAAAGTCAGCTCTGCATAGGCCCGGATCCGTACTGTGGATCTGATCAAACCTAGATGGAGACTTCAAACCTAGATCAACCTCAACAACCTAGATAGTCCTCAACAACCTAGATCCGCGGCTTCCAATGGGATCTGCGGTTTCCAACGGCATCATCAAGCCGAGGGCATCCCGAGGGACCCCAGATCCCTAGGGATAAATAGCTGGCTTTCCTCCCTACTAGATAGAAAAGAAGGACAAGATCTTCTATCATCATCAACATGTTCCATCCAATCCATCCTGTTTGACACTTACAACCACGTCAACCACAAGGCGCTTCATGCCACACGCCTTTCTTCCTCCTACAATACTCCATTGGCCAATTCTGTTAGATTGGATCATGGACAAAGCACCTGATCGGGCGGTCACGTGGTGACCTCCAGGGTTGAGACCGCCTATTGGTGCAAATGCCTCAGGCCCCCACGTTTAGTAGTGACTGAAAACACTTACGCGGTCACGGCCGGGAGACCTCCCGGCCTCACACACACACACAATACACACACGATTAAGTCATCTGAGTACCACGCAAACTTTCCGACAAATTCGACCTTTCTAACCTTATTCTCATACCTAAATACAGCCCTCAAGACCTCAAAGAGGCTATTGAAGATGCTCGAAGCGGCACTGCAATACGGCGAGCAGCCTATCAGCACAAAGTTCCTTATTCAACCCTGCGCGACCGGCTTTGGGGCAAACCAAGCCACAACGAAGCCCACGAATGGCAGCAATTGCTTCCTAAGTCTCAGGAAGACCTACTCTGTGATTGGCTTGTCACACAAGATAAGCTCGGTACCTCAGCACAGCACGGAGTTTTTATCGATTCGGCGCTTGTCATATTCCTCACTAATTGATTTCGTGTCCTCAAGCTCCATATTGAACAGTGCGTATCGTATTTCACATCATTCAGCAGGTGAAGAAAACACGATGCATGTAGTTAAAGCTATAGTGTGGGTCTCCTAGCTTACTAGGGGGGTCTCGTGACATCGCGTCAAGCTCAACCCCCCGTGAGGGACGAACGGGGGGGTCGTTGACTCGACAAATATCTAAAAAATGGGTGTATGCCTGGGTAAATTTATGTACCTTCTCCAAAAAAATTGCTTAAACTTACTAAGAAAAATTCTCCGCAAAAATACACTGCGTAGAGTGTCACACTGAATGGATAGGATCACAATGATGATGATGAAAGCTCTTCATTTCTAGCTAAGGGACGGGCCTAGAGCCCGTCTTTTATACATGATGAAGACGGCTGCTGCCGGAGGCGGCAGTCGGTCGCCGCCGCACAGGGCCGGGGCCCTGTGGGTCCCGGGGACCGGGATCGTGGTTATAGGGCCGGCGATGTGGTCTGAGGAAGAAGGGAAAGTCGCGTTGTCTAGGAAATGACCCCGAAATGTGACATAGAGTGAAATTTTTGGTGCAAGTCAATGTACCTAAATTTGTCGAATCAACGACTTTTTGCTTGGTCAGTCGCCCCCCCGTGAGGGACGAACGCGGGGTTGAGCTTGACGCGATGTCACGAGACCCCCCAGTAGAGTTTCGCAGATATCCAAGTGGGTGACCATGGCCTCGGCTAGACTTGCTGAATGTACATTGGGGACGGTGACCCAAGGGAGTCCATCTCTTGGAACGACCATTCCTCGGCATGGGCACTCGGGATGGTCCCTCGGCAGGGCTCCTCCCTCGGCTGCATATGGAGTACCATGCTGCCTGGCAGAGACAGGTAAGGATGGATCCCTGCAACCCCGCTTTCCAACTCAGCCACCATCTAGATCCAGGCTCACACTCCGCTCGAGAAATCCGGGGCGCTGCGGAAAATTCTCCCGCTATTGGCCTGATCCCCATCGGGGCCAGGTGCAATGGCAGTGTCAGATTAGAAGGGAGTAGAGAAGTGATGTCCACCTCATCAGATGATCCACCCGCCAGTCCACCATGTATCATGCCATAGGACCTTGTTGTGCCTTAGAAATCTGTTGGGCTGTCTAGGCCGACGTTGTTCCCTCGGCATGCTACGCACATTCGAATTCAGTACATAGTATACCTGCGGAACAATTCCATCTTGACGTTTCTGGAGAGAGATGTCGAGGCGTTAATAGTTACACCTCATCTTATCACTCATTATTTGAATCTCTGTAACCTCGACGCAATTTTCCAGAGCAGCTAAACCTCCCTCTGCTAAACAGCGTATCCAAGACATACTCAAACATGGGGTCAATTTCCAACACCAACGGGACTCTGCCTTTCAGTTTGAAAGACACACCAGTGGAGAACCACCGGCCCATGAAGGTTGTTATCATTGGAGCGGGCTTCTCCGGCATATACACCACAATCCGGTAAGCCCTATATCCTATAATTGGCAGGAGTCTCAACGATTTGGGCTGGTGAAGACTGACAAGACGCCGCTAGGATCTCACAGAGACTTAAGAATATTGATCTCACGGTCTATGAAATGAACGACGAGGTTGCAGGTGTTTGGTAAGATTCATGCTTGTTTCACCGCGATTATGGCGCATTCGAGTCTCATTCCATCGCTACAGGTGGTTGAACCGATACCCCGGCCTTGCCTGTGACATTCCTTGTGAGTAACCCCTAAAGACAGTCATGCATTCATTGAGACTGCGGTAACTGATCAATATATGACTGTATCAGCATACTGCTACCAGTACAGCTTCGCACCCAACCCTTACTGGTCTTCACTTTATGCCCCAGGCCCCGAAATTCGGAAATATCTGCAGGATGTGGCAGAGCGATACGGAGCTACCCGATTTATCAAGACCTCTCACAAAGTAGAGACGACAACTTGGGACGCTGAGAAGAAGCTATGGTAAAAGACACCTGGTCCTAGGACAGGCAGTGGCAATGTTTCAAGTATTTAACTAACAGTTAACAGGCGAATCGTCGTGACCAACCGCATTACAGGCGAGACATTCGAACACACGGCAGACATCGTCATCTCTGCCCGAGGTGGCCTCAACCAGATTGCTTGGCCCGACATCAAGGGCTTGAAGAGCTTTGATGGGAAGCTCATCCACTCTGGCGCTTGGGACGAAAGGTCAGCAAGAAACAGTCGTCCATTGGTGAGGGACTAAATTAGCTGACAACAGTGAAGCTATGATCTGCGTAACAAACGCGTCGGTGTCATAGGCAATGGATCGAGTGCCATCCAGATCGTGCCCGCCATCCAGCCCTTGGAAGGCTTGAAGCTGTGGACATTCGCGCGATCCCCTACCTGGATCACCGCCGCGTTTGGAGACATGGCAATGGTGAAGTTGGGAATGGACCCCGCGAACACAAAATGTGTGTATTGCCAAGTCCCCGTCATAACAACACGCTACAGAACGCTAACCGCTGTGGATGGGCTTCAACAGTCTCGCGACAGCATCAAGAAGCCATGGCAAGGAACCCTGAAAAGTTCTTCAAGTTCCGCAAGACCCTGGAGGATGAAAACGCCAAGATCTATCCCATCACGCTCAGAGGAACCAAGGAGCAGGTTGATGCCACAACGTTCTTCGAGCAGAAGATGCGCGAGAAGCTGGACGGGCGTGAAGACATCTTCACGACCATGCTTCCTAAGTTCGCTGCCGGGTGTCGCCGCTTGACGCCTGGACCTGGATATCTCGAGGCTCTCAAGAAGGACAACGTTGAATTCATCAGCACGCCGATCAATGAGATCACAACCAGGGGTATCAAGCTCGCCTCCGGCGAGGAGGTTGAGCTTGACGTCATCGTCTGCGCGACGGGCTACGACGTTGAGGCGCCGCCCCTATTCGAGGTCATCGGGCGCAATGGCACCACACTGGCTAACAGGTGGAAGCCGCAGATCGAGTCGTACCTGGCGCTTGCCGTGGACCAGTTCCCCAACTTCCTCATCGTCGGAGGTCCCGGCAGTGGGCTGGGCTCGGGCAGTCTGGTCAGCGTGTTCGAGGCGCAGGGTGACTACGTCGTCAAGGCGATCCGCAAGATGCAGAAGGAGGACTATGCGACTATCGAGATCAAGCCGGAACGGGTAGCCGACTTTAGCCAATACATCGATGAGTACTTCAAGAACACGGTGTACACCGATGAGTGCTCGTCCTGGTACAGGCAGGGTAAGAAGGGTGCGCGCATTGTGGCGCTCTGGCCAGGATCCTCAGCGCAGTGCCTCGAGGTTCTGAGGTCGCCTCGATGGGAAGATTACAGGTTTGAAAGCGCAGACCCAACAGGCAACCGCCTCCGGTGGTTGGGCAACGGCTGGAGCACAGTTCTCAAGGAGGGCGATGCTTCTTGGTTCCTGGATGATGATGTGGTTGATAAGCCAGAGGAGGGAAAGCCGGAGGAGGGCGAAAAGTATGACCGGCGCCCCTTCTCGTATTAAGGAGACGTTGTGCCAGTTTAGCGCGGCTCTATTAGATCAACCATTCAGTAGGTCTCTAAAGTCTCCCTCACCCCCAGCAAATAGGAGAATTCTTATTCATGATTACTCTAGCAATTAGTCTCATTATTTTCAATTTCAAGTCGCTGCTTCAAGATTGCAGTTTCCTTCCTTTCCCAGGCGACGCTCGTGATATGTTTTGCACCGCATGCCCAACATGGCATTGATTTGCAAGGATTCATCATTGAGGATCCCAACAGAGCCCGCAGCTTTGGCTGCGGGGATATACAACTGGCAACTTCAAGGAGCACGCCATAGCCTGATTCCTTGTACATGATGCCGCTTAGAGTTGGTTCTTGTGATGACATCTGCAATTGTGTGAGTCAGAACTACCTTAGCATGCGTGCCTCTCGCTGATGTGAACGAGCAGTTCACAAGATTCAATGCTGTCAGCCCGGCGCCTGGATCGCTTCCAGTCACGTGAGAGCCCCCTCACAAGTATAGTGTTGGTTGTTCGGGATTCGGGGGATTGCGGGGCTGGGGTAATTAGACTTCCCCTAGCCTGAAGATCACGGCTTAGCACGGCATACCACGCAGAGATTACGTTTTCCTTCGGCGCGGGGAACGCGTGGCTGACTTACGGAGGGTATTAAGGCTATGCGAATGTATGTAGGCTTTTCGTCCGGGCGGCCGTGAGGCCAGTAACAGCCCGGGCAGCAGCCGAGGCGCAAATGCCCTCGCACCATCCACCGTCCCTCATGATAGCATTGCATTGGCTCCTGAGCAGCCTGCATCTGAGTTCCCGGAGTGGTAGGACCTTAACCATCAAACAAGGTTCTTGAGTTGGGCTATATCTTATAGTAGATCTCTCGAGGCTTGGGCAGTGTTATCGACGGAGGTGGCAGGGACCTCCCGTGAAACTAGATGCTATGTAAAGCACCAGCGCGTAATACCATGGAGATATGGGTGGAGTTCGGGGGCACTCGCAGAGCGTTTGTGCATTACTCGAGTCCTCAAAACTACGCCTTAGCACGGGAATTGAGATGGTCAGAAGACACAAGATGGTCATATGGACTAGCCCGAGAAGTCAATCCCGGGCTAAAACGGTCCTACGTTCACCGGAAGTGTCAAGTCTACACTAGAACAAGCTCTCTACAGCAGAAGTGGAACGTGGCAATGAGCTAGTATATAATTCCGCTTACTAGCCACTGCAGAACTGGCCTCTTGCATGTTCAAGGTCATCGAGTGGTCATACAAGCTATCTGACAGGTGGTTATACCGGCGGATGATGCTAAATATCGCATCCTTCGTCATATTCTCCTGGGCTGCGATCTGATTGAGGGAAACGTCAGATTTATATATATATATACAATCGTCGTCCTCTTATGAGGACTATTATGTGTTTTTTCATATACTCGAGATATGATGTAGTTGAATTATTGCACGATGAAGTTACTGTGTTGACGTGACCGCATCGCCGGGTTGAGATGCAAGAGCGGGGAAATCGGGAAATTGTCGAAACTTTTGCACGGGATTGTAGTACCTCACAGTGAAGTCACAACTGGCCCACCTGATCCACCAATAAACCATCTTCCCCAGCGGAGCGGTTATCAGGAATCAGTTGATGGGTGGCAAGTTCGAAATATTCGGAATTCTTTGGCAGGTGTTCGAGCGGTCAGTGCCGCATTGATGTTCACATGAGCATCGGCAAGTTTGGGTGGGGGGCAAGGTGATATAGGATTTCAAATAGTATGCAGAGCCAAGGCTAGTTTTCAGCCGAGCCCTGTATAACTCCAAACAAGGTCCATTCCATTGTCCACATCTATAGGATGTGACGCTCCGTCGGCAAACACGTCACGATTCCGTGTCTGGCCACCAGAACATCCCTGTTTCGTACTGTCAATTGGCCCTGTCAGAAACTCCGTGCTGCCACCCTCGCTTCCAGGGATGTGCCCGGCGGGGAGAAAGTCGGCGGCCATGGACGGGATGAGGGCGTCGATAGACTGCTCCGGGTCGTAGCTCAAGACCGGTTCAAAAGTCCTCGATTCAGCCATAGATGAGGGCCGAGGCTGCCCCTATTGCGAGTGACGTTTGGGGTCCTTAGCTAGGCTCAGCTGGTCGCGGAGCCACGCGGGAAAGTCACGTACTTCCGGCAGCCTCCCTTTACTGATGCATATATCCACCGTCCAAGTTATCAATAGATAAGAGTTCGGCTGACTTGTTAAGATCTGGCTTCAATCTGTAATTAATTTCCGGTCGGCCTGATATAGTAATTAGCTATTGATTTAGGCCAGGTTGGCAATATATCTTGCTATATCCTTAACCCACTCTATATTATAATATTATAGTATGAATACCTTTATTACTTCAACTAGGATGTCTAGGCGATTCTAGTTTATAGTTAAAATTGAGTTTAACTTATTAAGAGAATTAAAGGTTAATTTCTTATTAATATAGAATAGTTTTACAGTAATAATATATAATATTAAAGGGGTTGCAAGATATATAACTTTATTCTACTATCTTACTAGCTTTAACTAGTCTTATTTGGGATATAACAGCTAACTTATACTATTATTAGAAGCTAGTAAGTTAAATAATACTAAGTTAATATACTAAAATAGTATATTATTTTATATATATTATCCTGCAGTTTACTATAGTATTTATTAAGATATATATTTTATTTAGCACTTTTTTTTACTTAATTAATTAGTTATAAAAAAACAGATTTATATAGTATTTTATAGTAATATAGAGTAATACTAGCAGTACTAGAGTTATATTAAAACTGACTAATAAGATATATAATAATATAGCAACTTATTAATAGTAAATAAATATAAGCTAAGTATATAAAATAATAGATTTATCTATTTTAAATCTCTTACTAAAGTGCTATCTTTAGCTGTTATTATAAAAAGGAAATTATATACTAGTATATATATACCAGTTTTTTAATAGAATATTGTTAAAGACTAAATAAATATATAAATATATATCTTTAACCTTAAGAAGTAAATCTTAATTAAATCTATAAATAAATATAATATAGTATTAATAGTACTATTTATACTGTATAAATAGCACTAAAATACAGTATAAATACAGTATTAATTATACTATTTATACTGTATAGAAAAGATAATAGCCCCACTTTTATTTGGAATCATTTTTAATTCCAAATCATTTTAACTTACAATCCGGATGCTTCAGAAAGTATAAGCATTTTAGGTACAAAGATTATACTAGAAAAAGGCTGCTTTTTTAGGCTTTTTTATAGTATACAATATGTCTCTATATCTTTGATGATTTCAAATCAAACCACCTTTGATTTCAAAGCAGAGACTTGATTTCAAAGCAGAATTACTCAGAATCCTCTAAACATTAGATGACAATAATAGTACCACTAAAAAGCCGCTTTTTTGGGGCTTTTTAATAGTATACTTATTGTCTAGCTACAATACCTAGATTTTGAGAAATTGTCTATAAAAAGCTAGAGACCCTCTGGTAAATTCTGAACTTTTACATATTATCATCATCAATATAATATACACTATTATACACTATTATATACTATTATACACTATTTTACACTATTATCCCTTATCTCTTATCTTATTTCTTATCTCTATATCCTTTATAAGGATATCTCTTTATCTATAATTAATCCTATTCTTCCACTGCCTCATAACCTCTGATAAAAATAATAACTTAATATTATTTAGAAGCTATATAGGTAATTTATAAGAAAATAGGCTAAGAAGATATAAAAATA